ATTTTTCAGGAATGCAACTCGAGGAGAGCTTACTAAAGTATACACACAATAATATGTGTTGTTTTACCAAAGCAAACTACACTATGAAATATAAAATATCCTTACAAATTAACAATAAGGTTGGGGAAAAACAGATGTGGGACAGCCTGTGAAGTCCCTTCTCCTTCTCTTTCTCTCACCATTTACCCGAGTGGTCAAAAGGCTCATAGATCCAAACAGATGGTGCAACCTTCAACAACACTGCTGAGTTTTCTCCCACCATCCTGTGCCTACAACATCAGAATCTGTCATAAAAACATTTTTAAAATGTCTTTGCTTCTAATCCAGTGTTTCTCAGCCTTGGCAATTTTAAGATGTATGGACTTCAACTCCCAGAATTCCCCAGCCAGCTTAAAGTTGCTAAGGTTGAGAAACACTGTTCTAATCTGTTGAATTTTTTTTTTACATACCCTTTTGTGGATAAGTAACTGGCTGAAGAATACAAAACAAAGAGTAGGAGTAAATGGGACGTTGCTCACACTGGAGGAATGTAACTACAGTAGTGGGATCCCCCAGTCCTAGACTTGGTGCTTTTTAACATATTTATAAATTATTTGGATTTGGGTGTGACTAGTGGAATAGCCAAGTTTGCTAAAATGTTCAGAGTGGTAAAAACAATTAAGGGGTGGCGAAGGGATGTCCAGCCATTAGGGGAGTGGGGGTCAAAGTGACAGATGTCATTCAGTGTGAGCAAGTATAAAGTGAGGCACATGGGTGCCAAAAATCCTAACTATTCATACAGACTAATGGGATCGAAGCTCGCAGTGATTGATGAGGAAAGAGATCTTGGGGTAATGGTAAACAGTTCAATGAAGGTGTTGACACAGCATGCATCTGCCGTAAAGCAGACCAAAGGCCTACTAGGGATAATAAGAAATGGCACTGAAAATAGATGTCATAACACACCTCTATAAATCAATGGTACTACCAGAGTGTGCAGTTCTGGTTGCTGCACCTCAAAAAGGATGCAATGGAGCTAGAGAAGGTTCAGAGGAGGGCAACTAAGATGACCCAAGGGCTAGAACAGCTTCTGAATGAGGAAAGGTTGTGATAATTGGGTTTTTTTTAGCCTATAAAGGAGGCAAATGAGAGGGAACCCGGACTAGAAATACAGAGGGCCTATGTCTCTCATAAGACCTTATTAAATTGCCATCATCAACCAAAATTTAATCAACTCTACATGGAACAGAACTGAGTTTTTTAACTGTGATGCAGAAGGAAGTTGTAAATAAGAGACTCCACAAATATACCATAAAGATTATTTTATTTATCCTTATATGCAAAAGGAACTTGTAAATGCAAACCAACTTTTGGTTGGTTGGAGTCTCTAATCCACAACCATATTGGAGAATTAAAGCATGTTCGTTATTATTTATGTACTGTATTACTTATTAAATGCATTTCCATCACATCACAATCGAAACAACTTTTGGCAGCTTTATTAATGACCAGAACTTGAGTTGAACAAAATATTACTGCTTATTATCACACTCAGTTTCTACACCGTCAAATCAGCAGCACCCACAGCAAACTGTGATGCCAAAATGATACTCGGGCAATGACGCCTTCATGGAATCGCCACCCTTCATCTTCATGTCCTGACCTCTGATGGAACCAAGTTGCAGCACTACTAGGACGACACTGTGGTACACATCACTGCACTCCCAAGGATGTCCATCCAAACTTCGTCTTGGATGTTTACAACCCAAATCTTGAAAGCAGGTAAAATAGTTAAATACAGCCGAAACCACTAAAAGGGTTTTTAAAAGCAAGACACAATGTTATGAACTTCAGACATAAGAAGCTTCTGGCATTCTTGGGAATTCACAGGGAGATCCATCCGTAGAACGAGGTTCAGTTAGTGGGGATGTTTGCCGGTCAGTCTCTGGTTAATCTCTTCCTGGGTCTGCAGAGGACAACAAGCGCACGTTCATTTACAAAATCACCCTTGCAATGCTAATATTAGCATTTCACTATACCTTTACTGCAGATAGGACAGGTCCACCTGGGCCTGGACTGCAAACCAAGGAAGTGCACAGCCCAAAGAGGCATAAATGACGTTTATGTCCTGAAGTCCCTAACGCTGCTCTGAGTTGACTTACCATGTCGCTGAAATGATTTATGCCCATGCGGTAGCTGTGTTTTCCCTCATCAGCCTCACGGTTATGTTGCTCAATTACACGCACGTTGTTCTCCCACACAGATCTCCGGAAAGCTTCTTCTCCCTGCACAGAAGCCCCAAAGTGACAATTCAGGCACGCAGGAATGCACTGGAGCTACTTTTATTCCCCCTGGAAAGCAGAATAACTCTGAGTATACCCAGACTGCCTCCACCTGCAAAGCTCAAAAAGTTTGTCCATGGTTACTTATTGTAAAAAATCTACCCCCTTCTAGATTGAAGCCAAGAAGCAATGTCTGGAGCAGTTTCTGAGGTCAGAAGAAGCAACTAAATGGAGCTTCCATGTGTACCACTTAAGACTGATTACCTGCAGAACAAGTAACAGGAGGTCAGTACTTTTCACAACCAAATTTGGGACTCTCTGCAACATTTATCCAGCTGCTCTTTGAGACACAATGTTTTTTTTTGAAAGGAAAGTGTATTATACTTTATTACATTTAATAATAGAGTGATTCTCAAACTTTGCAGTGCTGTGTCTCCCTAAAATGATAAATTGTGCAACACCCCAATGATTCCATTAGTATTAGAGTTCAATTAAATAAAGATAGCACTTACTTTTAATCATTAAACTTTAATTTTGAAAACAAGGTGACTGGCATAAACAAGTAACAAATTACATATGTACTGGTGTAGGCTTTCACGGGCAGTATCTATTAGGCTTCGGGGTTTAGTGACTGTGATCTATACAACAGATTTCTTGATGTTTTGCCGGCAACTGTGGTTGGCATCTTCAGAGGCAAGGTGGCCTGGGATACCATATTCCTACAGACCACTGTAACGAGCTGCCACCTGTTGATCCCAAATCCAGTAACTTTCCTTGCAACCAATATTGATTCAAAAGAACGTTCATTTATTGAGAATAAGTGTACAGATCCAAAGCATGGCTAAGACTGAGCAAAAGCGCGCC